ACGCACGCCGTGCTCTCAAGGACTATCTTGTCAAGCAGGGTGTATCTCACGCCACCCAGCTTTGAGGGGGGGACGTGTGAGAGTACGACGGCTTATTCCAGCTATGCTTGCTTGCCTTTACTTTATGATGCTATTTCTAGCATAGGATAATTATATGCATGCATGAATTGCTTGATTTCCTAGGCTAGGTGCTTTCCTATAATTTATTATAGTTATAGCACCGAGCTAGGTTGCGTGCACCGAATTCTGGCTTTTCGGTTGCCACCGAATTGCCTTCTACCGAATTCGGGAAGGATCTGTTCGGGACGCTTCGCGACCCGCGGAACCTTCGCGTAACACCTGGTTACAGGGCCTTGTGTCGAGCCTATATATAGCCTCGTGTTGTACCCAGGTGATTCATTCAATTCACATTCTCTTTTCTGAGCTCGATCCTAGATCCTCACAGCCATGGACTTGCAACGTTGGGGCACCGCTACTCTGCAACGCTGGAGCGGTGCGAGCGCTGCTGCGCTGGAGCGCGGTCGACCATGCTGCGCTGGAGGTCGACCAGCAGCCTAGCTAGCTCTGATATAGTCTGTGTTGCCAATGTTGTTGTAACCATTGTTGTCAACTTGCTCTAGTGAAACTCTTGCCAATTCGCCCCGTGAACTAGCAAGCAGTGTGTGTACTAGGAAGACGACTAAGGACCAAGGAACGCAGAGATCACACGAGCACCCGTGCCTAGCCCGTAGACTAGCTCCCGTTGCTGCAGTTATCTCCGCACACGGATGCAGCTAAGAGGGTGTTGCGCTACCTGTGCATAACGTCGGGCATGGGGCTCGTGCTTGGAGGACAGGCTCGAGTTGTCCTCACTGGTCACACAGACGCTTCTTGGGTTGACGACTTGGCTACGCAGCGGTCGTCACAGGGTTACACCTTCAGCCTTGGTTCCGGCTCTGTTTCGTGGCGGTCTACCCGCTCGTCTTCTGTTCTCAGCTCCAGTTGTGAGGCTGAGATCTACGCAGGGGCCATGGCTGCACAGGAGTTACGCTGGCTCACCTACCTGCTGGCCGACTTGGGAGAGGCGTCTCGTTCTCCTCCAGTTCTGTACGTCGACAACAAGGCCATGATTGCTTTGTGTCAGGAGCACAGACTGGAGCACAAAACGAAGCACATCGCTCTACGCTGCTTCCTTGCTCGAGAGTTGCAGCAGCGTGGTCAGCTTTATCTTGCTTACGTGGCCACTCGGGCCAACACTGCTGATATCTTTACCAAGGCACTTCAGCCTTGTGATCATCAGCGTTTCTGTACTATGTTAGGTCTTGTGCCTACCTGGCCTCACTTGCTCACCTCTTGACTTTGCTTGTACTGTGATCTATATATACCTGCACCTGCATGCTTACACTTATTAGGTTGAGATCACTACTGCTTGTTCACCTTGATATATAACTCTGCATGTGAACTGGCCTTGTGGCCTTTTTGCTTGTGCTCAGAATGCGTGGTGACGTCGTGATCCACCCTGAGCTTGACCTTGCCTTGTTTTGTTGCTTGCCCCCCACTTTGCCTATGGGGGTGTGTCAGAACTATACTCTAGGCTGTAGTGGGGCACTTTTTATGGGGTACAGCCTTGATACGTTTTGCCTATACAAACCTTGTACTGTTCTCTTTCTAGTCATCATTCCTTGTTCTAACTTTCACGTATGGGGCAAACCTCTTGCCACACGGCTTGGCAATGTTCAATGGGCTGCTTGCAAGAAACTTTGCTGGCATTCCATTCCAGACTCACGGCTCCCCTCTCCTGTCACTCAATCAACGCCGTAGTGTTTCTGTCCAGTGACCACCCACGGCCGTGGTATGAAGGAAAGTTGCTCATACCGTATACCGTACCTAAGTGTTACATGTGCGAGCGAGTGAAGATTGCACGAAGGAAAGTGGCTCATACCGTATACCGTACCAAGTGTTACATGTGCGAGCGAGTGAAGATTGCACTAAGGAAGCAAAAACAAGTGCAACGTGTATTCATATGCATGAGCAAATACAGCAAATGATAGCGCGGTGCGGCCGAGCTAGCTTTTGTGCAATGCTGGAAGCGAGGTCTTTTGAAGTGTAGGTTGACTCCACGGAGTGCAGCAGTGCGTGGTTTGGTGAAAGTGATGCGGGAGAAGGTGGCTAACCACCGTTACCAGTAATGGGCGAAGTACGGTTGGTCTTGTACGCGATGATGATGTGCGCAGTATCGGTATAGGAAATTTCATTACATTATGGAATAGTGGTGGTTGGAAAATGCATTGTGGGACTAGGAATTGTAAGGCAAGAAAAGTGGAGTGCCCTGTAGCACTAGAAAATATGAGAAGATATTAACAAAGGATTCCGGAAGTATTATCCAAAGTGCTTTTTTATCGTGTGTAACATTGTGGGAATGTCTATTAATCTACCACCCAGTAAAGTACTGTAACTTGAATATAGCAGGGAACAATTGGACCGTTTTGAATCGCACATTTAGGACAATTGCTAGGTCACTTACCTAGGCCTACGCGATTCGACTTGCCGGCTTTGTGCATGTCGCCCCCAACCACATACCACGCTTCGATTTGGAGTGAGGTGACTTGAGGTGAGGTGAGGGCATTTGGTTTGGCAGGCGTGTTCTACTATCCCTCCCCCACCGCCTCCCGCACCGCACCGTGGCGAGCAGAGCTGAACATCGTGAGCTCCTACTACCAGTCGAGCTCCACCAGTCGAGCTCCACCAGTCGAGCTCCTACCTCGCTACCAGCCGTGACCTGCCAAACTCTCCTTTTTGTCACACGATACGATTTTGAATCTGCACGCCGGCGCCTAATCATCCTACTAATAATGCGTTCTCCCGGGCGTGCCGCCGCCGCACGCAATGCCGGAGCTTGCGTTCTCCTCGTAGCCCTCACGCTCACCGTCGCCGGCGCTGCTGCTTGCTCCCGTTTCAGCTCTGCGATTAGTACTACTACTACTAGTCGCCCACCGTCGCGGCGAGATGTCCCACAGCGGCTTCTGTCCAGACAACGCCTGCTGTCTCGCGCTCGGCCCAGCCGCGCCCAACGCTCTCTTTTGAAGCTCGCCGCTACCGGCGGCGCTGCCGCGGCCAACGCGAGCGTTGGAATCGTTCTCGAAAACTCGCAATGTGAGTGGGCTTTTCCAGTTCAGGGTCTCAGCGCGCTTCCTCACTCTGATAGCTCAGCGCGCTTCCTCACACTGAGAGCTCAGCGCGCTTCCTCACACTGAGAGCTCAGCGCGCTTCCTCACTCTGAGAGCTCAGCGCGCTTCCTCACACTGAGAGTCAGTCAGGCACGGTTGGCACGAGGTGGGGGGAGTACAGTGTAGCTACTGCGCGCGTACAGTGCACACACTCTGTCCTTGGGTTGCTAGTACCCACCCCCCACCTCGGTACCCCAACCCCCTCGATCTCAATTTTGGGATGCGAGCTCCAAGGCCCCCGCCCTTTCTTTTCTGCAGTAAATGTGCTCCCATTTCCCCGTTGTGCCGCCAGAGCAGGCACTGCTGCAGCTGAAGGCGGCGTGGGGCGTGTGGGCGGGCAACAGCAACGCCGCCACCACAACCCCCCCCCCACCCCCCAATTGCATTCCCTGTACCGGCAGTGAAGGTGCTGCTGCAGCTGAATGCGGCGTGGGGCATGTGGGCGAACAACAGCAACGCCACCACGGCGTGCTCTGCATGGGATGGCGTCACATGCAGCCCCAAAGGGCTCGTCACCGCCCTGTGAGGATCGTTCCGCCACTCGCTGTTCTCGTTACACTAGATTTCTGCTCGGTGCTGTGTGTCTCCCTTTATTAACATGTCTTAACTGGCCTCGTTGCTATGATTCCCTCCCAGTTAGGCCGTGGTCTATGTCACGGGCGTTGTATTGGTATCCGTAGCCTAGGGTTCGAATCCAGCTAGCCACGTTTTTTCTCGCCTGAAAATGCGGTGGAGCTAAATTGAACTTCGAGGTCCCTGCCAAGCCGACACCCTGATCCGACGAGAACGTTGACTCCAGGGCAGCACGGGTGTAATGCATGCAGTCTTCTTACTTACACCAAGGGTTTACAAGGGGACTGTTGCTGCGCTGAATAAGCCTCTTTTTGGCCAACCTAGTCTAGTAAAGAACCGGGCGGTTCTATTCCCCCTCGGTACTTTTAAGACGTCTCAAAACTCGTTCTGGCCAACCTAGTCTAGGCACCGGGCGATTCTATGCCCCCTCGGTACGCCGTCGTTACTCGTCATTGGCCCTCTGGCCTCTCCTTTCCCCCACAGTGTTTCACTGACTGTATCGCCCTTCCGCTGTCTGCTCCTCTTGCAATGATCGTGTCGAATTGTGTGTGTGTGTGGGAGCATTGCAATCCGGACAAGGGGGGGGATGGGGATGTGGGGGGTGGGATGGGGGAGGACTGGATATTTGGGGAAGGGAACTGGAGTGGGCGGGAGATGGGGGAGGAATGGGAGCTGGTTGGTATTGCGTGTGTGCATGCATGCGTGTGTTGACAGGGATTCAAGTCTAGTGCGGCCTAATTGGGAATTTTACAGTTACTCCATACCTGCCTCCATCACCGGTCTTTCCACTCTGCAACTCCTGTGCGTCACCACCACCCACCCACCCACCCACCCATCCACCCACCCACCCACCCCTCTCTCTCCACTACAGTCTACATCCATCTTGCATTGCATCTACCATACCTTTCCGTCATTAGCCATGGCCTCGTACTGCTCTGCCCTTCCATCTCGTTTTCACATTCACATGCCACAACCCTACTGACCATACCCTCTTCCTGCCCTTGCATGCCTTCCTTGCATGCCTCCCTTGCATGCCTCCCTTGCATGCCTCCCTTGCATACCTCCCTTGCATGCCTCCCTTGCATGCCTCCCTTGCATGCCTCCCTTGCATGCCTAGCCAGACCACAACCTGCATGCCTTCATTGCATTGCAAGAGATAACTCCATTTTATCCTCCTCATGCCATCTCCACTGTTGTTCGCGCTCCCATCCCATCCCGCAGTGATCTGACCAACGTTAATCTGTTCGGGCCCCTTCCATCCCTTGCCAGTCTCACTGGCCTCACGCACCTGTGAGTGCTGCTCTTCCATGGCTCCAAACCAGCTCAACTGAATGTTGGACTAGGCCCTGACTTTTGAGTCGACTCAAAAGTCACCTGTGAGTTCTGCTCTTCCATTGTTCTATACCAGGTCAACTTGTTAGGGTGGTTCGCCACTGCCCTAGTGCCTACCGACCTACGCGCTTCACCTAGGGATGGTAGCACGACACTAGGAACGGTGGGAAATGTCGACCTAATGAGGAAAACCGACAGCTATAACGGTGGGGCTGCATGCTAAGGAGTAGGGATGAGCAAGGGGCGAACACGAACATGTTCGTGTTCGCCCCTAGACGAACACATCCGTTTGCCGAACCGAACACTGTTCGGTTCGTCGAACACTTTAAGCAAAAACTCGTGTTCGCCGTTCGCCTGTGAAGGCGTGTTCGGGCGAACCTCGAACACGTTCGTGTTCGTCGCGGGGCAAATTGCAGCAGCGGCCCGAACACGAACGTGTTCGGGCGAACATCGAACACTGTTCGGCGAACAATTTAAGCAAAAAAAACAAACCTGTTCGGTTCGCCTCGAACACGTTCGAGGCGAACCGAACAGGTGTTCGCCCTTGTGCTCATGTCTACTAAGGAGCTAAGGAGGGAAGGCGAGAAGAAAGCGGGAAAAACGGAATGGTGGGAGAGTGGGTTTCAGGAAATGTCGAGAAGACATTTCCGTAACCTAAAATGTCCAACCGCAACCGAACCGTGTTCGGTGCGAATGAGACAACCAGGTTTCGGTTCCGGTGTCGGTTACCGAAATCGGTTCCGCGTGCGACTCGGGCTGAAACGCGGATGACGCGTTACGCGAGGCGCACATCACATTTCGAAATGCTTAAATGTGTTTGTTTTCAATCAGTTCTTTGTACTTCTCTGTTTTGAGTGAAATCAGTCTTGAAAAAACAGAGATTCTCTCCAAGCATTTACTACCTTCAACGCTAGCCGGAGGCGATACCAAAACTAAGACAACTGAATGTTGGACCTTGCCCTGCCCATCCAATGTGCCCGTCCAGCACCCTCCTTCACTCCTCTGCACCCCCTGATCCTGCTCTTTCCAGCTTAATTGATTGTATCTCCCGCAAATTTTCAAGACTGGAGTCATTTCCCTTCCCTTTTCCCACAGCGTTCATTACCAATCACTTGTACAAGTACTTTGAGTCGACTCAAAAGTCGTACTCGTCAAGTCCTCGTTCATTCCAAATAACAATATCCTTATTTCCCCTAAACCCTGCATCCCCGTGGCTGCCCCATGTGGTCCCATTTCCCACTAACTGCACTGTACTACCACGTGCACCCTTCATATCCACTGTTGCTGCTTGCATGCCCCATGTGCACTGTTGCTGCTTGCATGCCCCATGTGCACTGTTGCTTCTTGCATGCCCCATGTGCACGCAGAGCTATTTTTATGGATGGTGACATCAGTCACGCTGGCACTCTGGAGGGCCTGGCCTGGCTCTCCTCCCTCACCAACCTGCAAACACTGTACTCCACGCAATGCAAACACTGTTCGCCTTGCAAGGCAATGTTATTCCTGCGAGCAATCAGTGTCACTGTCACTCTTCTTCCACTTTGTCATCCAACCTCGCTATAGTACTAGTTTACCAATAGCCTTTAGCTGACGTTAGGGAAAAGATGTGGCTGGAGACGTTTCTGAATTTTCGGTTACATATTGTTCAAAACAGGTGATTGCACAATTCGACTCAAACAAAATTTTTTAAGCAATTAAAAAGGAGTCGGGAGCCTCGTGTAATGCGTCTTCCGCATTTAGCCACGTGCCGTATGGTGGAACCGGATTCACTAACCAACTTTGAAACTAAAACTGACCTGTTGTGTTTGTACCAAACATGGTTCAATTGCGGTTGGACATTTTAGGGACGTGAAAGAAGTAGTGTTTTGAGACGTCTCACGTGGAAATTCAGTTGCGGTTGGACATTTTAGGCTGAGGCAAAGTACTTCTCAACATTCGCCAACTTGTTTTCGGTTTTCTTGTCCTTTTCACGTATGCTTTCCTTAGCTCCTTCGCTTTCCGTCCAGCCCCACCGTTCTAACTCACACCATTGTCCAGCAAGCTCACACCATTGTCAAGCAAGCTCACACCATTGTCCAACAAGCTCACACCATTGTCCAGCAAGCTCACACCATTGTCCAGCATGCAATGCAGCAGTCCCCACCCCATGCTCCTACGCTACACCACCCCCAATGGCTTCTCTTCTCCCGTGTCGCACTTCTCTCTCTTCAACCAGGTCTCTAGAGTACTTGGAATGATTCATATGGGAGTTGCTTTTGAGGAGTCGCATAACGTGGCTTCTCCCATGCCTCACTCACTTCTCTCTCTTCAACCAGGTCTCTAGAGTACATGGCATTTCTCACAGGGGAGTTGTCTTCCCTGCACTTTCTCTCACACCTGAGGAGCCTACATCAGCTGTGAGCATCATTGCCATACAAGAACGTACGGTACAGTGGTGGCGCGGCTCCTTGCTCCTATTCTCAATCTGCATGTCACCATGTGACTTGGTCCATACCAGCTCGCATTTGGCAATGGTGTTTCGCTAATTATGGCTGATTGCATGCCCATGAGCGCAGGAAAGTCCGGAGTCTCAGAAACGCCACGGGGGAGTTACCCAGAGAGCTTCAGTACATGACTGCCCTCACTTCACTGTAAGCTTCACTCAAGTCTGATGGGACAGGTGAAACGGATTCGTTCATGTTCGTGCACGAGTAACACATCCCCATCCTCATCCCCATCCCCATCCCCTCGCCGGACATGACTGCAGCTCCATTGGCTTGTCTACGTGACGTGCTCTGCTCTGCTCTTGCTTTCCTCCCTGCTGCAGGGATCTACCCGACCTTCGTTTCGTGGAGTTTCCCATTTGGGTCACTCGACTTACCAACCTTCAGTATCTGTGAGCTCCAGGGTTTCGGGTTTAGTTTTCCTCCTACTTCACCCTCCTACTTCGCTCTCCACCATTGTCACACACCACATCCCCCACGAGGCACGGGGAGGATCACATGTGCCAGCCATGGCGAGGCGATGGCTGGGTGGGATTGAGGTGCTCTAAGTGCGCACACGCACCATTGTCACACACACGCCACGCCACATCCCCCACGACGCACGGGGAGGACCACACATGCCAGCCATGGCGATGTGATTAGATTGAGGTGCTCTGAGTGCGCCGCATCTTGCTGGCATCTTCTTGTGTGCAGGAACCTGGAGGCAGACTATCCACACCGGCAGGGGCGATTGCTGAATGATGACCTCTCTCAGCTCACAGCACTCACCTTCCTGTGAGTCTACTGTGGCTTTAACTTGGTGCGGATCCTTAGTGTGTCAGCTTTTTGTTTTCCAATGTAAGACCTTCATGACTTGGGTTTCCTTCTTACTCGTTGCAAGCTAGTACTGCAAGGGTGTTGGGAAAGCAGTGGACATGTCCAAGCGTGACGCGTTAGAGGTGATATGCATAAGCAGGTTTGTTCATATGGTCCACTCAGACTGTCTCTGATGCCGCAACGCTATCGGAAGAAAATCACTCATAATTCCTACCCTAGTTTCTCATGACTCCCACCAGTTATTACTCTGGCGTCCACCTGTTGCCTGCTCTTCAGCTCCCTTTCCGGAAACAACTTAGAAGGCTACCTTCCCAATAGCTGGGCCAATCTGGCCCATCTGCAAGAGCTGTGAGTTACTGTTTACCATAACAACTTGCCATCCTGCCATGTTGCCATACTGAGTTTCTCTCTACAGTATTGAACAAGTATCCGATCCAGGCAGGAGCTTTGTTTGCCGAAGCAAATATACTGTGGCGTCTAGGATTGAGCAAGTATCCGAACCAAGCAGGAGTTTTTTTTTTCGCCAAAAACAAGCGGAACGGCTCGAAACGAACTTCTACAGCCCTTAACTTAAATTGCTTCTCTAGGAAACCCGCACTGCTCGAGCTGCACACCTGGAGTTGGACGTGACTCAACTAATTTGTTTTGAAGCTTTCAAATAGTTCAACTTGAACCAGTACTGGTCTCTTACAGTCTGGTTTCTGTAAGTTACAGAAATAAGGCAGCGTTTTTCTTTGCTTAAAGCCTATCCCTGTGGCTCTTTAAACAACATTTTTTTTTGTTTTTAACAGTGACTTGGGAGTCAACAAATTTGAAGGCACAATTCCGGCAATATTCTCGGCCCTAACAGGCCTGACTAAAATGTAAGTTTCAAGTGTCCTCCCTGCTTCCATTGCCCCACCCTCACTCTGTTTGTCCTTGTCTATATCCCTCGTCCCTTCCTCACTCAGCAGTACACCACTTGTTCTGCCCCCCTCTACTGCAGAGACCTTTCCTATAATCAACTGTCTGGTACCATCCCCGCATTTGCCACCAGCATCCAGTCAATGTATGTCATTCTTCCCTCCGGCTCCAGTCAATATATGTCACAAGCCTAGCCCGAGCACATTCTACTTCCCATACCTTCATGATTCAGTACATTTTCAACAATCAGCTTCCCCCCTTCCCTTCATGCATTCCCTGCCGAACCATTTTCTTTTGCCTCGCTGGATTTTCCTGTCTTTGTTTCTGTGCTTGAAGCTCTCAGGCTTTTTCTGTTGGAGGTCCAATTTGCATGTTCTCCCAGCCTCTATCCTTGGTGCTTTCAACCAATCATGCAGAGAGAGCCGTGCAACAAAAAAAAAAATGTAGCTGCAGGAATATCGAACCAACATTTCGATATTCCACATCTGCTGCACCACCAACATTTCAACAACGGCTGCTGCATGGCTTCCTGCCTTATCCTGCCATGCCAAACCAGAACGCGCACCCTGATCCCCCATTCCTGCTGCACCCTGATCCCCCATTCCTGCTGCACCCTGATCCCCCATTCCTGCTGCACCCTGATCCCCCATTCCCGCGGGAAGACTCAAAAGTATTCCTGCTACTTGTTCTTTGATCTCTACATCATTTCCACTTTCACCGCCCCTCTCTTCCTTTCATCCCTCCCACTTCAGTTTTCCATCCCGCCCCTCTTGCCCTGATCCCATCACCAGCTCCTTCAACCCTCCCCCCCACCTTTCACTCTTGCCCTGCTTTGTATTTTCGAAACCCTATTCCCCATGGCCTCGCATCCTTTGCTCCATTCTTCCCCTTTCTCTTGTCGCCTCCTGTCTTGACTGCCTATTCAGATTCCTCCATTCCAATGCCTTAAGTGGGCCCATCCCACCACACCTACCGGCACTGCCCAACCTCTCTGAATTGTAATGCCCCCCATGTTTGCCCATTTATACGCACTTTATCTTCAAACCTCCAGACCTATTCACTGCTTGAGCTATCCTTCCACCTGCACTATCCGTCTAGCCCCATTTCCCTAACCTTGTTTCACTCCCTTTCTAATCTGCAATGGTTCCTGTATATGGTTGCCCCGGCTGCAGACTACTATCCGACAATCAGTTCACAGGAGCCATCCCCAGCAACTTCAATCGCCTCACTTGGATGACTAGTCTGTATGTCTCTACCCAAGCTGCCCTCCCCCCATGTACCTCTCCCTGCCCCCATGAGACGAAACTGCTGCATCAACGGAATGTATTGGAGAGGGTCTCACATGTTACTGGTTGTTCTTTGCTGTGCCTCGTAAGAACATAATTGCAACTTTTCCAGCATTATGCTGGTTGCCTATGTGTGTGTGTGTGTGTGTGTGTGTGTGTGTGTGTGTGTCTGTGTGTGTGTGTGTGTCTGTGTGTGTGTGTGTGTGTTTGTGTGTGTCTGTGTGTGTCTGTGTGTGTGTCTGTGTGTGTGTCTGTGTGTGTATGTGTGTGTGTGTGCTGTGTGTGTGTGTGTGTGTGTGTGTGTGTGTGTGTGTGTGTGTGTGTGTGTGTGTGTTGGCGCGCGCGTGTGCGTGTGCGCGCACGCACGTGCGCGGGCTCCACATGACAGAAACATTTCTTTCAGCAAATTGAGCTCAGGCCTTGACGTGGTGGCTCAGATGACATGGCTCAACGACATGTGAGTGCTCTCCCCTCTTCAGCACATCAGCTGGCCCTGACTCTACTTCCCTTCCCTTCGTCCACTTTGGCTGCCTGCAACGTCTGAGCTAGGACACTCTCCAATACTGGCTATGCAGATCGATCAATGACAACAACTTCTCTGGTGTGCTTCCGGCGTCCTTCTCAGCAATCAGTAATCTCTTCTACCTGTGAGTCTACTCGATCCATCTCTCAACTCATCAATGCAACAACCCCTTTCATGAAACCTAATCGGGTGGGTGGGATGCATGCAGCAACAGTAAGCGTTGTGACTGCCCCTGTTGTAAGTTCACCTGAGTATTTGTGTGCCCGTGCTTCTGTTATCAATTCATGTGGCCTTGTATTCCAATTCATGCTGGATGACTGCTTGTTGTGTGCATAAGTGTATGCACTTGTATAATTTCATATCATCTGCTCGTTTTGTTGTACACTTCTGTCTTGGTATATAGCTCAAATAAGCAATATATATATACTTATACATATATATATATATATATATCTTCACAAATATTATCCTGCATTCATGTGCAAGTGCCAGAGCACGTATGCAGTGGCCTGTTCAAGAGCGAATGAATGCGTGCTTCACTATGTATCTGTTTCATCATCTCCCCACCACGCCCTGGGCCTCATTCAGGAATGCTGGAAACAACCACTTCACAGGAACCTTCCCGGATTTTATTCTGCGCCGCAAGGGCCTTCCTTACCTGTAAGACATGCACTAGTGGCCTTGAACAAAAGCACTTGTTGCACTAAAGGAGCAAAAACGCAAGCAAAGTACCGAGCCGAACCGGCTCGCTTTCGTTTGGTTTTTTTCCAGCGGAACTGCACAGAAGAGCCTTTTATTCGTGCCTGTAATGCATCCTTGCGTGACCTGAAGCAAAGGTGGGTTGCACTGATGAAGTAACTGCTGCCATTTCTTGCAGTGCTTCCTCCTACCTGAAGCTTGGCCAACAACTCATAAGTCAATCGCAATCAAAATGGTAATGGCAGGAACTTGGGCAACAACAGGTTCACAGGGACTATCCCCCGCGAATTGACCGAGTTTGTCGACCTAGGTCACATGTAAGTTGCACTGCTGCGAACTGTAGTCGAATTGAGGATCCTAGACATGAGCAAATGCCAAAGCGAGTAATTCTTCACTCGTTTTCAGCCGACTCGTTTTGAAAACGAGTCGAGTTGAATATTACTCGTACGAGTAATTTTGCCCCTAGGGCCGACTCATTACTCGTTGGAAAAAACGAGTAATAAATTACTCGGTCCGAGTAGTGAATTACTCGTTTTGGATCAAGTAATAGTCGACTCGTTTTTGACAGTATATTTTTGTTTTTTGTTTTTTGTAGGTAATTGTACCCAGGCCGTGTGCTTACAGGGTGTGTGCTTTTTGTTCTTTACATACCTCGGGGGACGTACCTGAGAGGGAAATTAAAGGTCATGAATTATTACGCTAAGGTATGCGCGCGCGGGTTAGAGAGTAGTCTAAACTAAAAGACATTCTAACGGATGTTTTGCCTTGCAGATCGAGTAGGAACTAGATCGATTGAGGCGGAAACTGAACCTTGAGCACAACCGTGTACGCAGATCGAGGGGAAAAGTGATCTGCGAGCATGCGAATTGTGATGGCAGTTGGAACGGGAAGTGAATCTGCATTCGAAATGTGTTGGCAGATCGAGCGGGAACAGATATGCGAACACAAATTTCACACCCCCCACCCCCTCCCAACCTGACTCCCCCCAACTCCCCCAGGCCCCCTCTTCCAGTTTTGAAATCGAGTAATATGCGAGTAACGAGTACTTGTTTGTTGGCGAGTATTTGTTTACTTCCGTTTACTTTCGTTTTAGGGTAAAACGAGTACTACTCGACTCGACTAAACGGAGTAATTACTCGGAAACTGCAGACTCGTTACTCGCCCAAAACGAGTTACGAAAACGAGTCGAGGAAATTACTCGACTCGTTGCTCATGTCTAGAGGATCCGTTTAGCATTGTGCTTGAATATTTGAGGCCACTTTGGCTCTTGATACCATTGTGCAGAATGCTCAATAGCAACAATTTCCATGGAACTTTCCCATGGGGCCTCCTTGAGCTACCCGGTTTATCCTGGCTGTAAGTAGCTCCAATACACCTGTTTCAGAATATTATTTTTCTTCCACCTTGTCCTCCATCTCAATGAAAGGGTGAAGGTCTGAGGATGCATACAAAACCTGTTAGGACTATCCCTGATATGTCAAATGGTGATTTGCAAGTACTTTGCTCCACTGCCAAGATGCATTCATGTTCGATGAGTCGGTTTGAGTGCCAAGACACATGAATGCATTTGAGTCGACTCAAAAACCGTCTCGCAGAGGCCACGATGCATTCTTGTGCTTTGGTTGGCAGAATGCTTGGTTTTCTAACTGCTGCATCCAGCCTTCCCTTTGATTTCCAAGCACAGGGATGTATCTAACAACTCTCTTTCTGGGGAACTCCCACGTACTCTCAGGGTCCCAACTTTTCTGAACATGCTGTAAGCAGTTGAAGAACTGTGTGCTGCCACCACTGTGTGTGCCTGGTGCAGCACTGTCCCTTCATGGTTAACTTTCATGCCCCTGAAATCTTCGTTTCCTTTTGAGTTGTGCAGAAACCTGGGAGGAAATGACTTCACGGGCTCCTTACCAGACTTCTCACGCTGGAACGTCAGCTGTGACGAGATGTAAATATGTCTTCTCACACTCTCTTCCTCCTTTTCCCACTCTAGCTCAATCTTGGCCTTAGCACCACGAGGGTGCAAAATTGTGCCTTTTTATTTCATGGGCGGAAAATCACGTACGACGTTTTCACTTCACCCAAACTTTTTGATTATTTTGGTCTGGAAGAATATTGTATCTTGGTGAAAAACTTTGACTGAAATTTTCAAAAACAAAAAAAACCCAAAACAAAAAACAAAGACATTAATTGTCAAGAGTTGATGGATGCAAATCTTACTTGCATTCCCGCTGCCAGATCTATGCAGAGCCTGGGTGAAAGCAGGTTTCTGTAACTGACCCGGGGGCTTGCCAGGCTTGACCCGGTCCTTTAAGGCCGAAATCGGGCCAGGTTTTTGGAAACTCCAACCCGGGAAGACTAAACCTGACCCGACCCAGTACCCGTCTGGCCCGCCCAAACCGGGTCAGGTCGGCTCGGGTCAAATGCCCATTTTTTGCATGTAAAGCATTGCACCCAAAGTAAGCTGTTGCGTTCACACCACTCACGTCAGGCTATCTCGCTGCTGCCTCGCCTGTGTTTGTGGCTCAGAAATCTCAGCGGCAACAACTTCACAGGGTCGATTCCCGACTCCATCTCCACCCTCACCACCCTCGATGGCATGTGAGTGAGCCTTCTCTTCTCTTCTTGTGCCACAACAGCCATGATGCCTGCCATGAGCACATACAAGTGGAGCTATTTCCATCTGAACAAGGTGGGTTGTCGTGTACAAAAGTCACCGTCGAACCTTTGCAGTGGCACGCAGCCAATGGCAGGAGAAAGGTAGCAGTGGCAGCCTATGCACACGCAGCTACATATGCTTGATTCGCACTTCCAACCAATATATCCCGTTGCTATTCCCTGATCTGCAGTTTTCTCAACAACAACCAGCTGACTGGCACCATCCCTTCAGCCATCTTCACCATGACGAAATTGGCGTACATGTAAGCCTCTTGTGTTTAGGGATACCCTTTCTAAGTGCCCATCACACGTTTCTACCTCTGCCCAACGGTACTTTTCTTTCTTGCACAAGTCTGCACAACTCTTTCATGCTCTGCTTCTCATCGGAATGTCTCCCTGCCATTGCTGTTGCTCCTCAGCTACTTGGCCAACAACCATCTCACTGGCAGTCTGCCAGCTGCCATCAGCCAACTGAAGAATCTTGAACAGATGTAAGCGTGCCATGTGCTTTCCTCCTCTACTTTTTTCAAGAACAGTGGCAGCGTAGGAAGCAACACAGCCAGCACATGCACAAGCTTGCAGTACATCGTGACCATAACAGACCTAGCAAGCTTCCACACTAAGAAATGAACACAAGAGACCAAAACACGCAAACATCACCTGTGCCATCCCCACTCCACCCCCTGCTCTTTATGCAACCGTTACTGCCAATGCTCTGCCTGTCTCCCTAGCTGGTTGGACAACAACAAGATTGAAGGCCCTCTGCCAGCTGGCATTTGCTCGCTGCCCTGGCTGTGGCGCCTGTGAGTAACAGTCATACACTTGATCGATTTTTTTTTTAGGGGTTTTTTGTCTAAGGACGATTTTTAAGGACATTTTTTGAACTTCTCTCCTGTTTTCATGATTTTGGAGATTGTTAAAATGTGTGAAGACGTTTCACAATTTTGTGTTTGCCTTTCTGTATGGATGTGCGACTCACGGCACGGCATAGTGTGTGCTGTGCTGCTGGCAGCTTCATAAGCAACAACTCCCTCTATGGACCCCTTCCAGACTGCCTCTTTGACAAGTGTATCACACAAATGTGAGCCTACCATGCATACTTTATTCTCGGTACCATCTATGGCAGCTCGCACCCTCAACATGAGCATTGCACAGACATAATTATCTGGTGGGACGGCCTCCAATCAAGCACTCAATATCATCTCCTGCCCTCCGTGATCCCCCTGTGCTTCCTGCAGTGATGTGAGCGGCAACAGCCTGTATGGGCGCATCAACCGCGACTTCAAGAACATGGTGACGACCATGGGTGCCCCCGCCCGCGACTTTGAGTACATAGCGGCGGATGACAGTCCCATTGTTAACTTGGCTCACAACTTCTTCTTTGGAGATGGGGTGCTCTTTGCTCTCGGCTGCAAGGTCTGCCCCACTGAGATCAACAAGCCCAACAACCTGGGCATAAGGGACAGCTTTGCATGGCGAGAGCTTGGTGGCAAGTGCGACTTTCTTGCTCCAAATATGCCGGCGAGGGTGAGTCTGTCGGGCAACTGCCTGACCCTCACCCCGAACAACCAGTGCTCATCCAACGCCACCCAGCGCAGCACGGCAGCCTGCCAGGCGTTCTGCAGCATCACGGACAACGGCCCGTGCGACGGCCATGGGGCGTGTGTGCCGGCTGACCCTGCCTCCCCCTCCAACTTCACGTGCCTCTGCGATGCGGGGTACACCACAGTCGACTCGGGCAACGGTTCCTCCACATGTGCCATCGTCCACTCCACCACCAACACCACCACTGGTAACCCTTGCTTCATTCTTACAAATCCACATTTCATTCCTATGTTCTGCACCAGTAACCACGTTTCATGAGGCTTCTGCTATACACATGTTTATCACCGCCCCATGTCCATTCCTTGGCAGTGTCGTCTCTGTCGACGGGTGCCATAGTGGGCATTGTTCTGGGCAGCTTTGCTGGCTTCACGCTGTTGGCTTCTGTGGTCGCATGGCTGCTGTGGCCCCGCGGACAGAGTGAGCCCCTCAAACCCTTCAGTTCCATTCCATCTCCCCCATTACTGCACCACTTTCCTGGCTTCCTTCCCGACTCCCCACCTCTCCCAATTTTCGCTCTCCACTGCCCTCATGCTTGCCTCTCCTCTGCCCTCATGCTCGCCTCTACTCTGCCCGCATGCTCGCCTCTCCTCTGCCCGCATGCTCGCCTCTCCTCTGCCCTCATGCTCGCCTCTCCTCTGCCCTCATGCTCCCCTCTCCACTGCCCTCATGCTCGCCTCTGCTCTGCCCTCATGCTCTGTCCACGCATCTACACCCTTAGTCTCTCACACCTCTGGTCTGAAATTTTTTCTGTGCGCAGAGAAGTGGGAGGGGTTGGACGTGTGTGAGCAGTACACGCTGCAGCAGATGCTGACTGCCACCAGCAACTGGTCGGAGGAGAATGTGCTGGGCAAGGGCGGCTTCGGCATTGTCTACAAAGGCCGCTCGCCACAGGGCCAGCTGTGGGCCATCAAGCGATCCACCATCATGACCAACGACTTTGAAACGGAGGTGAGGCATGCCTTTAGTTCTTTGTGTACAAAAAGAGGCGTCGTGAGAAAACACCGCACTCTCTGCTTCCCAAAATGCTGACCTGCAAATGGATGTCTTGCCCTTACATGCCAATGTGCATCTGCCTGCTTGTTGCAGGTGCGAGCCATGGCGTCTCTCCACCACACACACCTCGTGCGCCTGCTGGGCTTCTGCCTGGACCAGAACGTGGAGACGGGCAAGCAAGAGCAGATCCTCGTGTACGAGTTTATGGCCAACAGGGACCTCGAGTACCATATTCACAGGACCAAGCGTGAGTCGCACAAGCACAATTGTAGAACGGCATTTGTTTGTTAGTTTGTTTTGTTGTTTTCTTCAAAGGACATGACACCACCACTCATGAAATCATGTGTTCTGCTTGGCATACCTGTTGCATGGCCCAGGTCCGCTCTCGCTGCGCCAGAGGTTGCGCCTGGCGCAGGGAGCAGCAGAGGGCCTGGCGTACCTGCACGGGTTTGACACACCCATCGTTCACCGCGACATCAAGCCGGCCAACATCCTTGTGTCTGCCGACATGCAAGCCAAGGTGGCTGACTTTGGGCTGCTCAAGCGCCTCACTCACGGCGATGCTGATGCCACTCGGGTGGCCGGCACTCCGGGCTATGTGGATCCAGATTACAACCGCACCAACGTCATCACTGTCAAGAGTGACGTGTTTAGGTGCGCATGCTTGTTCCTTTGCACAACGCGATTGTGCTTTTCTGTTGTTTTTTTTTTTTGGTAAATCTTCCAGGTTATGCCCTGTATTGCTTTCTTTACCACTGTACATGCTTGTTCCTTTCCATGACACAGTGAACTTGTGCACTTTTTGTTTATCCCCTTGGCTATGTTGAGTTTGTGTACCTTGTATTGCTATCTCTACATATGTCCACTTCTTTGCACACAATGGATGATTACTTGCAGCTTTGGAATTGTGCTTCTTCAGCTGCTGAGTGGCAAGTCACCCCATGTCGACCCAAAAACACATATAAGAAAATGGGTATGCACATCAAGTATGAAACTCTTTTTTGTTATGGATGAGAGTTGGAAACTTGCATGTAAGAGAAAGGGTATGCTGATAAGATGTAGAATTCGTCTGACTTCGTTATTTTGTGGCTGAACGTTTATCCTGGACTTCCTTTTATGGTGATTTTCACTACTTCCTTGTTGTCCTGCTGCCTTGCACCTCACTTGCTGCTTCGCTTGCTGCTTTGCATTGCCTCACCATTCATTATCCATTCGTGTTATGTGTACGTTGCCCTCTAGGCTATGAAGCTGGTGGAGGCATATGAGGTGGAGGAGCTGAGGGACAGCAAGATGCCACCAGTAAGTGAGGAGGCCATAGTGGACATTGCAGACCTGGCTCTGGACTGCATCAAGTCTCCCGGCACACGGCGACCCACCATGAAGGATGTGGCATACCGCCTCAGTGCCCTCATTGCCAAGCACTGTCCTGACAGGGAGGACGAGTGGGAGAATGTTGTGAAAGAAGAAGGGACAAGCAACCAAGGGATGCCTTCTGAGTTGTCTGGAGATGGAGGGAGGGAGCCTGAGAGGTCTCACGGCTCACAGTCTGCTGTGATCTCATTCACAGGTACTTTCTCGATGACTGATAGCCTCAAGAGCTGGCTGCAATTGAAGCCAGCCAAAGGGCGTTGAGTTTGCCCATAATGGCTGCATGTTAGCTGCTTAGCACGGAGGAACTAGAATTCGGGGTATAGGTAGGTAGTACTCTAATAAAAAAGGAACAGGTGGCTACTCATCATGCACCAGTATGAATGGCTGGCCTGATATTGTATCAGTTGTGAGGTAGGAGACACTTTTCCATGAATCTGGGATCTGGAAGCAAGAATGGCATGAGATGAGAGTCAGCCGAGCTTTGTGTTGTACGTGGGAGGCATACTACACTGAAAGACATTGGCACTCGCATTACATCGATGTGCATACTCGTTGGCTAGTACCCACGAGGCTGCCATTCACGATGGTGGATGAACAGAAACAACCTGGCGTAGATTGCAGGAAACGTGAGTGAGCAGAGCGGGGAGCCGCATAAGTCTGGAATGAAATGTATGCCAAGCCGTGTAGCAAGAGGTTTGCCCCACAAGCAGCCCACAATGGCAGTGTTGCCATGCCACCATCGCTCTTGTCATCCTTATTAGTTGTCATCGTCATGTCATGTAATCATGCCCGCCACTATCAGTTGTCTTTTGAGACGTTTCAAAAACCAACTTTTGGGACGTCTCAAAAACCACCATCGCTGTTGTCAGCGTCATGCCACGTCGTCATGCCCGCCACTGTCAGTTGTCCAGCACCAGAATCTCTGCGTTGTGCCCTCTGTGAACAGACGAAGCAGCAGCACAAGGGAAGGGGAAGAGTGGGAGCAGGACAGGGACGGGATGAAAGACAGCAGCAACAGAGCACACAGCAGCAGAGCACACAGCAGCAGAGCACACAGCAGCAGAGCACAAAGAAGCAGAGCACACAGCAGCAGAGCTCACAAGAGCAGAGCACACAGAAGCAGAGCACAATGCAGCAGAGCACACAGCAGCAGAGCTCATAAGAGCAGAGCACACAGAGCACACAGGTCCTGCCCACATGCATGAGCAGCTTGCCATTAGACACGTTCACAACCAGCCCTGCACTACTAACAATGCATGCGTGTGCATCAGCAGGTCCCCCTCTGTGCGCCGGGGCACCCCGTCCCGATCCATGTGCTTGCTTGGCTGAGTCTTGCCTCGCCGCAACACCCGCCCACTGCCTGCGTCCTCCCCGCTGCTCCCTCGCTTCTTCTGCCGCCCTCCCTCACTGCTGGCGTCACTGCCTGCTGTTGTGCCCTCATCCCCCTCTCCTGCCTCGTGTCAGTCCGTGAGTGTTGCGTGGGAGGTGGCAGGAAAACCAATCCCGCATCATGTTTCGCACATACTCTCATCAGTTCCCCCTCCTCCCTCTCCTCCTTCTGCTCCCTCTACTCCTGCTGCTCTCGTGCCCGCCTCTTCTGCCTCGTGTCAGTGCGGGATCGTCGCATGGGTGGCACCGCCGCTGCTTCCAATTCCAAATCTTGTTTCATGCACGCACCCTTCTGCTCCACGTGCTCCCCCTGCTCCCTTTGCTCTTTCTGCTCCCTCGCCCGCCTATCCTGCCTTGTGTCTGTGCGGGATCGTCGCATTGGAGGAGGTACAGGCGCTGGCTATGTGACTGCATGCTCTCTCGCTCCCTGCATCACCCCCATCCTCTCTCTCCCTCTCGTATCCGGCATCGCATTTGGACCCAACCCCAGCAACCCCATTCCCATGCTTAAGCTCCTTTCCATCCCTCCTCTACTCCCCACACTAAGCCCAATGCTCACCACCCCTCTTTCCAGCTCCAAACACATATCCACCCGATCCAACCCGATCCCCACTCCCAATCCAATTGTTTTCTCACAGAGGTCCTCCAGCCTCCTTGACTCCCCTCTTCCGGGCATCTTCACCATCCAAGCACCCCCCTCCTCCCACTCGCCCTCCCTCACTCTCACCTCCCTCACTCCCGTCTCCCCAGCCACTGCCAACAACTCTTGCTCTTCCTCCTCCTCCCTCCTCCTCCTCTCTCTCTCTCCAGCTGCTGTTCTAGCTCCCTCAGCCTCGCCTCCTCCTCCAAGACTGCCACGTAGCCTGGTGCCTGTAGCTGCTGAAGGGCGGGTGGTATACCACCGTGCTCGCTTTGAGGCCCACTGCTCCCTTCCCTCCTACTAGCCCCGCAGCCTCTGCTGCTCTCCCTGCTCTTTCTTTCCCAGTTGCAGCAGCAGCAGCACCACCACCACCACCGCTATTGGCACCAACAGCGCAAGCACCATTGGCAGTCGCTGCAGCAGCAGCAGCACTAGCACCACCACCGTTTGCAGCAACCGCAGCAGCGGCAGCAGCAGCAGCCGCAGAGGCAGGGCAACCCGAGGGAGGGCGGCAGGCGGGGAGATGGCGGGAGGCGGAGAGACGGCGGGAGGCGGGACGAAGAGCATGCTGCAACGCGCGAGGACGGGTGATAGGGGAGGGCTGCCGGGGATACAGAGGGCAAAGTGCAGTTCTCCGTGCGCGCGTCGTTGTTAGGACTCTGGGGGGTGGGTGGGGGTTCCACTGGTTGAGACCGCCCTCTGTTCACCCTGCTAGTCACCCCCTGCCCACTGCGCTGCCTGTGCTCTTTCGCCTGCCGCCCTTGGGGAAGCAGATGCGCAGCGAGGAACGGCGAACGCGGCGGCAAGCACGAAAGGAAGTACTAACAGATGAGGGAGTGGATGGGGAGGACTTGGGAGCGGTGGGGGGTGACTAGGATTGGTTTGAAGAGGCGGAGGAGGGCGTGTCGTGCCTTCAGAGTCAGACGGTGGCGAGCACGGCAGAAACGGAGAATGGGAGAGGCCGCAAAGCTGTGTGGAAGCATCTGTCCGCCAAGCCAGCAGGGCGGCCGTTGGCCACACTGCAGCGCAGACTTTCGGCGCGCAAGCAGGCAGGAGAGGCGATGGCAGTAATGGCAGCACCGGCAGAGGCAGCGGCAGCAGCAGCAGAGAGGGTGAGCGACCCGTGCTGCTGGGCTGCGAGGGCTTGCGGGGGAGCAACCGCGTGCGCGCGTTCGACCCTACCAAGTACGAGATGACAGCAACAGCCGTCGCTGCAGCAGCTGCAGCAGCAACAGACGCAGCCAAAGCTGTGCCTGAGAGCAACTACGAGGTAACACCCATGCCTGGAAGCTATAGAAGTGCAGTGGAAGGCCGTCGCGGAGGGGCAGAGGGAGGGGCGACGGAAGGCCGTCGCGAGGCCAAGGGCGATGACGCTGTGGTGACGTCAGCAGCACTGGGAAAGAGCCAGCCCGTGGCAGCGGCGTGGTGGCAATTTGGCGGGCCTGATAAGGTAACCAGCAGCGGCAGGAAGGGCGGCAGGCGGAAGAGCACAGGCAGCGCAGTGGGCAGGGGGGTGACTAGCAGGGAAAACAGGGGGCAGTCGCGACCAGTGGAACCCAATATTCTTGCCCTCCTCCTCGCCGTCGGCCTCACCCTCGCCCTTGCCTGCGTCCGCGGCTCCAGCAACCCCGGATCGCTTAAGTGCGACCCCCGCTGGCCCACCGTGGCCGCGTGAACCGACAACTTCGTGGTTGAGCATCTCAAAAGCGATGTCCTGAGCGTGCCTCACAATCTTATCGTGCAAAGGCTTCAAATCCTTTACAGATGCAGCACGGACGGTTTCCCCCGGAGATTTCGTAATTGCCTCGAATTCAGAGAGGATGCGCAAAAACCCGTACACAGCCTGTAATCCGAATCCTGCCTTCACCTTATCCAAGGAGCTGAGATCCTGCACGGGGAAGTAGAAATCGCATGCATGGTTAGGATACAGTGGTTACTTGTGCGGCCGTAGTTTTTGGGCGGCCACGTACCATATACTCGCGCTTCAAACGTCGCGCTCGGTCACATGCAAATTCAAGGCTCGGCTCGTCGTCAGTCTCATGGTATTTCTCGACGCTTTTCTTAAACCATCTGCAAGCACAAACACAGAACCGGAGTTTAGACGCAACAATAAAGCATACAAAATCGTCGCGACAAGGAGGCGAGTCTTACTCGACGATGTTCGTAGCCTGCAACCTCTGCGGGTCTGGGCCCACGCAAGGGTCGATGTGGATGATTCGTGTGCTCGATTCCTCGTTCCTTTCGTACTGCAACTGATTTGGCCCCAAAATAACGAGGATGCTGCAAACCGTGATGCCGTTTTCTTCGCTGCACATGGGACGCAAGATGGGAGTCAGCCGAGGGTACATATAATGCAAAGCGCTAAAGCGGATAGTGCTTACGTTGCCCACAAAGGGAAAACAACGAGATCCATGTTCAGCATGTTTGGGATTTCCGCGTTCGGGACCATGTGTTGTTTCGTGCAGTCCGTAGCCAACAAGCCGCCCTGCGCCCCCGTTGTGACAATTCGTGTAGACTTCTCACGGTCGCCCCCTTGTTTGGCCAGCACGAACCTGCATAGTTCACACAGTTTTACCTCAATCGGCAACTTGAAAAATGTAGCTCTTTCTAAAGCCCACAAAAAATGACAAATGCGGTCAAAAGACAAAGTCGGTAAAAAAAACGTACATGCATGCGAAATCCAGTGCTGCGGCGGTGTATTCAAGGGTCTCATCCGTAAGACTTCGCTTGTCCTATTCCTCTAGCACAACGGTGGCTCCGCCCGCTTCCGTGGCGACGTCGACTTTCTTGAGGCTCAGCATGCGGTTGAAAAGCGCGCGCCTTTCACGTGACATCCTGTGTTAAAAAAGAATCAGCAAACGCGAAAACACGACAAGACCGCGAAAACACCTCTAAAAACAGGGTTGATAGTAAGTGCCGCGAAAAATGCGCAACTACTAACACCACCTATTCTCAGACGAGATTCGCACATTCCGGACGTTGAAATTGCTGACACAAAACAAAGGGGTAGTACGTGGAGCGCAAACGAAGCTGCTACTAATACCACTATAATTCTTGAATTTTCTTCGCGCGTTGCGCACGTAAACTTTGGTCACACAAAACATTGGGATAATAGGTGCCGCGAAAACCAAGCCACAAAGCTGATTCTCTGCTGTGCTTCCCGCTTTTATTGAGTTGAAATTATTGACACAAAACCGCGGCAAACCCTAAACCGCGAAACGGAGCTAGTAGTAACACCAACAACAACTCTAGCTAGGGGACCACTTCCCTAATATACTACGACCCCTACCTTCTACCCCTATTCCCCAATCCCCTAATCCCCCCTCCCTTAACCCCGTCCTATCTCTCACCTTGAAGAAGCCTTGCTTGAAGGGAAGGAGAGATGAGAAACTGAAGAAAAAAGCGAGATTCGAATGCACAAATGGAAAATGATGACCTGCAACCCCAAATAAGCGTTTCTGCCCTCACCTTCCTCAGCAAAAAGACATAGGTTCGGAATATGCGAACCTATGTTATCGGGCCTGACCTTATCCCAACTCGTAAGAGTGCCTCGCTTTGGCAAATATCCTCGCAGCAGAGTCCTCTGTTCGTTTGGTTTCCTCGCGCACACCGTGAGCTCACCGATATTTGTTATTAGGTTCAGTTTGAAGAATAAACCCTTTTTTTTTTGCACGTCGGTAACTCGCTCTGATGTGCATACGTAACGAAGTCGCTGCAAGCGCGCCATTGGCCCGGTCACGCGTCTTCGCACAGCTATCTAGCGAGCATCAAATACATATGTACAGTACTATTTCCCGCGAGCATTCAAGCCACGTGTCGCCCAATAGCGCGTCGCACAATTACACGCGGCGAGTTCGGATGAAAAGGCGAAATGGCTTGCCGATTTCGCAGCAGCATTCAGGCGACGACGACATCGCGCGAAAAGGGGGTGGAAAGCCGCCGAGCTGGACGGAAGCCAGGGCCACAAATCCCGTTCTTGCCACTTGTCGTTCTGACAGTGATGGCCATGTGCCAGAGCACCAACAAGCGCGGCATGAAACGAGCCCAAAGTGATCCAATGGCTGAATCGCGCGCAACGCGAAATTTGCATGAGCGGGAATGTGTGTTTTGAGCCATGCAGAGAGGGCTTGAGTCATACTCTTCCGTGTGTTCTTAAACGCGAACGACACTAATACGATCGACGCGAACGACACTTCCACGAACGAGTCTAACAAAAGGCCGCGGGAATCTTGATTGCGCGAAACCTGAACACTATGTTTTCTCAAAAATTCGCAACTGCTAGAGTGTCCCCTGCTGTTGTGTTTCGTGTTGTGTTGTGTTCTCTTTGCCCTCTGGAATAAACGATTTTGCTATCATGATCGAGTTTGCTACCTAGACTTAACACGACAAAACCCCCGTTGAGACCTAAACAGGTGTAGCACAACCCGATTTAAAAACAAAAACACAAAAGTGAGAAGATTTGAACAAGAATGAATGAACTATGAATGAAGTGAGTACATATAGCAAACCCTAATTGGGTTGTACCCCCTATGGGATACCCCACTATAGCCTACACAACAGCATAAGCTATATATATGTTCTGACACACCCCCATAGGCAAAGTGGGGGAGAACAAGGGGTCACAAGACCAGTCACGCAAAGAACAGCAAGCTCAGGGTGGATCACAAAGTCACCACACAGTCCGAGCACAACGACAAGGCCACAAGGCCAGTTCACATGCAGGAGTGCACATATATATATAGAGCTAGACAAGCAAGAGCAGGTATATATATGTGACAGTACAAGCAAGGTCAAGAGGAGAGCAAGTGAGGCAAGACAGGTACAAGACCCAGCTGAGTGCAGAAGCGCTGATGGTCACAAGGCGGAAGTGCCTTGGTGAACACATCAGCAGTGTTGGCCTCAGAGGCCACGTACGCAAGTCGCAACTGACCACGCTGCTGCAGCTCACGAGCAAGAAAGTAACGGAGAGCAATGTGCTTCGTTCTGTGCTCCAAGTGCTGCTCTCGACACAAGGCCAGCATGGCCTTGTTGTCTACGTACAGCACTGGAGGAGAACGAGGCGGCTCTCCAAGGTCAGTCAGCAGGTAGGTGAGCCAGCGAAGCTCCTGTGCAGCCATGGCCCCGGCGTAGATCTCAGCCTCACAACTGGAGCCGAGAACAGAGGACGAGCGAGTAGCCCGCCACGAGACAGAGCCGGAACCAAGACTGAAGGTGTAACCCTGCTACGACCGCTGCGTAGCCTGGTCGTCAGCCCAAGAAGCGTCCGCGTGCCCAGTGAGCACCACTGGACTCCGCCCTCCAAGCACTAGCCCCATGCCCGACGTACTGCACAAGTAGCGCAACACCCTCTTCGCTGCAGCCATGTGCTCTGGTCGGTGTCTCCCAGGAGCAACATAGCGTGCAAGAATGCTAAGAGGGTATGCAAGGTCAGGTCGTGTGCAGGTCATCAGGTACATGAGGCAACCAACAAGCTCTGGGTACGGGCCACTCAACTCTACGGACTCATCCGAAGGCAGAGCTGAGAGCGAGTGGCGAGTAGGCAGAGGAGTGGCCTGAGGCGAGGAGTACGTGAAGCCGAAGCGCTGAAGGACCTGCTGCACCATGTGTGACTGAGTCAAGGTAATGGTGCGGCGTGCTCTGTCCCGAGTGATCTGCAAGCCAAGGTAGCTGCGCAGTTCACCCAGGTCTGTGCACGTGTGTCTCTTCTGCAGCTCGGACTTCACGTAGGCTAGTCCAGCAGTGTCAGCTGTGGCAAAGACCAAGTCGTCGACGTACACGAGGATGTAGAACGGCGGCAAAGAAGTGTCGGTGCGCAGAAACAACGACGGGTCAGCAGTAGAGGGAGCAAACCCAAGAGCCGCAAGCGTAGTCCTCAGTGTGTCGTGCCACTCACGCGGTGCCTGGCGGAGACCGTAGACTGGCCGTCGGAGGCTCCACTGGGTGCCAGGAGGGAAAGTCCCAGTGAAGCCAGGTGGACGGCGCA